ATTTATTTATTTTATATTAATACTAAAATTAATATCAATTTTTTAATTTTATTTATTTATTTTATATTAATACTAAAATTAATATCAATTTTTATATTTTTTATATGAATTTATAATAAAAAATATATTTAATATATCATTAAATCATAAATTAAATAAATCTTTAAAAAATTAAAAAATCAAGAGTTGAATAAAATATTCTTCATCAATCAATACCAATAGGTACTGAAATAATTGTCATGAGCTGTTTTCTTCCAGATTCCAATTTATTGAGAAAACAGACAGCAAAATCCGTACTGAAAACGCGGACAATATCTAATCCCCCAATAAATTAGCAGATACTACGAATCAAAAGGCAAAAGCCTAGTTTCGGTCCCTCATCTTATTAAATTTAAAAATTAACTCTTATTTCTTTATATTATGATATTTTAACTTTTTATCTTATTAAATTTATAAGTTTTAATCTTAGTTAAATTTTCATTTTAGTCCCTAAACTATTATACGGATCTTTGATTTGGTCCTTAAACTAAAAAAATTCCTAATTTGATCTTTAAACTATTGTACGGACCTCTGATTTAGTCCCCACTGTTTATAATTTGGCCTAAGTTGGTCCTTGATCTATTGTATGGACCCCTAATTTGGTCTTTACTGTTTACAATTTCGCCCCAATTTGGTCCCTAAGCTATTATTTAACAGAAGGACTAAGTTGGGGTTAAATTGGTAAATAGTAAGGATCAAATTGGATATTCGTATAATAGTTTATGGATTAATTCGGGAGTTCGTACAATAGTTTAGGGACTAAATTAGAGATTTCTTTAGTTCAGGGACTAAATCGGGGGTCCATACAATAGTTTAGGGACCAAAATAGGAGTTTAACCTTTAATCTTTAATTTTATATTATAATACTTTTAACCCTTTATTTATTAAAATCAAAGAAAATAACCCTCATTTTATAACATTTTGTTAGTTCTATTAATTGATTATTAATTCTATTATCTGACTATTAATTGATTGTTAACTGATAAAATTTTTTTTTCAACTAACAAAATTAACAGAACTAATTTTATAATATTTCGTTAATTCTTTAAATGACTATTAATTGATTATTAATTGATAAAAATCTATTTTCAACAAACAGAGTTAATAGTCAGTATAAAATGAAGGTTAGTTTTTTCGATTTTAATAAGTAAGGGTTTAAAATTTACAAATCTAGTAAGATAAAGAGTTAAAAGTATCATAATATAAAGTGAAGAGCTAAAACCTTCAAACTTGATAAGATGAAGGGCTCAACCAGGTTTTGCCAAATTAAAAGCGATCCACCGTATCCTCATCTCCCCACCGTTTTTAAATAAAATTCTTTTCACTTTCTAACATTTAAGTCCGCGCCTAAACCTCTCCTTAATCCTCTCCTTCCCACCCCCCTTCCCATATAAATATTCCTCCTCAACTTATTCCCTTCACTGTTCCCCCTTTCTCTCTCCATTTTCTGTTCTCTCTGCACGCTGTCTCCTGATATTTTGGCTTTTCAGTTTCACCACTGGCGTCCCATGACCTCTACGCACTGTCAGATCCTTCTCTGATTTGGTAGTACTCGGACCGATTGACGTCGGTTCGGCGAGGCGAACCAATGAGCAACGACGACGCAAGTGTGGAGCCGCCGAAGCCGGCGGTTCTGAGCTCGTCCGCTTCGTTTAAGACTAGGAAACCGAAGACTAACGCTGCCGTGCCCCGAGCTGATGTCGATGATATTGTCACTCTCCTCCACGGCTCCGATCCTGTACGCGTCGAACTCAACCGCCTAGAGAACGAAGTTAGAGGTTAGAGCTCAACCGTTAATTTCTTTCTTGCGTTCCTTTAAATTTTGGTTTTCTCTAGAAAATTTTCATATACTTTTTTTTTTATATATAATTTAGTAAGGAAATGTATGATGTTTTCTTTTTTTTTTTTTTTTTTTTTTTTTTGGCGAAAAAACTTATGATGTTTTCCTAAGATTCATTGATTAAATGTTGATTTTTAATCTATTTTTCAGATATATTTAAGATATTTATCTAGTTATAATTATGGAAATTGCTGAAGTTTCCAAATTAGTCAATTTGTCAGTGTTCTCCGGTTTTCCATTATGGCATCATAATATAAAAAAATTCTAGTTATTCTGTTAAACTTGAAGATTGTTTATAGTTTTGTGTGATTTAGACAGTGGATTGTAGTGATAGTGAGATTTTGATGGAATTTTCTTGGCTGTTCTTTGCAGATAAAGATAGAGAATTGGGAGAAGCGCTTGCAGAAATCAAGTCTTTGAGAAATTCGGAGCGTCTCAAAGAAAAGGCAGTTGAAGAGGTAACTCGATTTTCGAAGTCATCTCGAAATGTTAATTTTGGAAACTCATTAGAGTTTCATTTAAGGTTGATTGTTCTTGTTCATAAATCATGTCTGAGCAATTTTTTATTGGCTCCCGCAACAACACAGATGCTATCTTTAATTCATTTGTGTTTGATATGAAAATGATAAGGATATCAATGTGTCTAAATTAGTAAATTTTAGATTGATTAATGGATGCTGATATGCATTCCAGATCCATTTTGCTTGTCTTCATTTACATTGACTTGGGACATCTCGTGTAGTTTTATTTAATATTCACATGCAGAAGATATGTGATATTAACTTTTTGGGTTATGTGGGTTTAGTTAACAAAATGTTAATGACATATTAATGGTCTCTCCGGCTTTATTTTATTTTATTTTATTGGGGGTGGCGGGTAGGGCTGGGTATGCCCCTCAATCTGTCTAACATTCTGTCCCAGTTTATGGCATCATTTTATATATATATATATATATATATATATATATATCTTGGTTTAATGATCTTTCATATCACTCATCAGTGAAGTCATATTTGGGATTTTTTTTTTCCCTTTTCAACTTATCTTTTTGTATCCATATGTAAGTTTTGCACTTTACTAGTTATTACAATTTCTGGTAGATTATGCTGGAAATGATGCAGTTAATATGATTGACCAACTAAAGTAGTTGCCACTATATCTATCAACACTCAGACTCTGTGCTCAAAGTGGAGTAAAATATTTTACTTATAATATCATTGGTATCTCATTACTGCATGATTTTCAATTCAAGACCCTCAACCATGTTTTGTCTGGATGGCAGTTCATCCAGGAAGGTAGAATCTGACTATGCTTCACATTTTAATTTTTGATATTGGGTAGAAGACTATAAGCCTTAGAAAAGAGATGATATCTTCAACAGAAAAAGTAGGAAACGTGATTTCATTGTGGCTGGGAAATTGTGCTATTGAAAGGAAGAAGAAGCTTTGAGTTCTTGAATTATGAATGATTGTTCAGAGTTTCTTTTGTGTTATGCAGCTAACAGATGAGCTTAAGAAAGTTGATGAAAAGCTTAAAGCAACTGAGGCTCTTCTAGAAAGCAAGGTATGTTGCCTGGTTGAATTTTCTTTTTCAATCACCATCCTCGTTATAATTTTAATAATGTTTGTGCTGTAAGTTTGCAGAACCTTGAGATCAAGAGGATAAATGATGAGAAAAGAGAAGCTTTGGCTGCACAATTTGCTGCAGAAGCTACACTCCGAAGAGTCCATGCTGCTCAGAAAGATGATGAAATGCCTCCCATTGAGGCTATCATCGCTCCTCTAGAGGCAGAACTTAAGCTTTCTAGGTTGGAGGTATACTTCAACTGTTTCTTTGAAATCTTTTGGTTTCTAGCATCTATAAGGCTATAACCATGGTTAAACTGACAGAATCATCTGTCTCAAAACATTTTCTGGCTCATTGAATGCTTTTTCTTTCTAGCTTGTTTGGTGTGGATGTTGGTTTTGAAATCTTTCCAATGTTGTCATTGATTCCATTCCAGCATTTCTATGCTATCATGAGATATTCAAAGGGTAAGTTGTAACTTTTTAGGCAGCCAAGTTGCAAGAGGATAACAGGGCACTTGACCGACTTACTAAGTCCAAGGAGGCTGCTCTCCTTGAGGCTGAGAGAACTGTCCAGATGGCTCTGGCAAAAGCGTCCTTGGTTGATGATCTACAAAACAAAAACCAAGAGCTTATGAAGCAGATTGAAATATGCCAGGTTTGTACTTCTTTAAGACTTGCTTTCACACAACTATCCATTCTAGTTAGTAAGTATTTGATATCTGCATGTGTATAGGCTGCATAGATCTTTCAAGTTGACATCTTGCCTGTGTATCAGGAGGAGAACCGAATTCTTGACAAAATGCATCGACAAAAGGTTGCTGAAGTCGAAAAACTAACCCAAACAATTTGTGCACTGGAGGAGGCTCTATTGGCTGGAGGGGATCTTGCTAATGCTGTGCGGGACTATGAACGAAAAGTGCAAGAAATGAATGTATTTACTGTTATTACTGAAAAATAAGTTCTTTTTGTCCCCTTTAATACCATTTACTTGCTTAAGTCTCATATTCATGATGTCCATATTTAAACAGGATGAGAAAAAAACTCTGGAAAGAGAGGTAGCTCGTGCAAAGGTAAGTGCAAACAGGGTAGCTACTGTGGTTGCAAATGAGTGGAAAGATGGAAATGACAAAGTTATGCCCGTTAAGCAATGGCTTGAGGAAAGAAGATTTCTTCAGGCAGGTTTCCGTTACTTTGTATCCTATATTTTCCTTCAAGAGTAATATATTTATTTGATAATTTTATGTACCTTTGTTAATGGTCACATCTCAGAGGTTCTTTTCCCATGAAAATTATTCAGTATCCTCATTCAGACTTTTCATAATACTGTAGTAGAAAAAGCACCATAATTGAAAGCAATGGTTTTTACTCTTTTCTCCCCATTCTTTTTTCCTGTTAATGGTACAAATGATTTAATGTACTGCAACAATCATTAATCTATATTAATGATGTGGCTCCAGATCTTGCTTTTGAATGTGGAATAGAAAAGGTCTATTACATTATTAATCTATATTAATGATGATCATGATGAGCTAAAGTAGGAAAGTCATGTCTGATTATTAATTAACCTCCATGTTAGTTTGCAGTTCTCAAATGGTTTTGTTGAATTGCCTGAAAAAAGAAAAAGTTAATTACAGTACCATACAAACTTTTACTTTGCATATTTTATAGGGGGAAATGCAACAGCTTCGAGATAAACTGGCTGTAGCTGAGCGAACTGCAAAAGCAGAAGCACACATGAAAGTAAGTTTACATCTTTTGCTTATTTTTGTGCTCATAACCGTTTTTTTTTTTCTTATTTTGGCCAAAGCTAATGATGACCTGGTTATTTATGTTCATCTTTTACTGCCCATGTATTGAATTATTGATTGACCATATAGGAAAAATTTCAATTAAGATTCAAGACTTTGGAGGAAAAGCTTAAAGCATCTACCAGTAATTCGCGCAATGCCTCTGAAGGAAGAAGTGCATTGAATTCAAATTCTTTCTCCGTTCGATCTAATAGAGCTACTGCCTTATTGAGAAATGCCAAAATGTCATCCAGATCATTTGATGGTTGTAGTAGATCATTGGATGGAGGTAAGCTGATTCTAGATGCCACCAGGAAAGATAGTATGCCTACCGGTGCTGGTGATCAGATGGTTCGTACTGATGTTACATGTGATGAGACTTCAGATGGATTGACTGAAAAATCAGAAAGAGAAAATGAAGATTATGTTTCAGGAATTTTGTATGATATGTTACAGAAAGAGGTTATAACTTTGAAGAAGGCTTGTCATGAAAAAGATCAAAGCCTTAAGGACAAGGATGATGCAATTGAGGTTTGATAAGATGCTAACCTCTATCATTCGTTCAGTGTCTGCAACCCACAATTTTCCCCTTTTGTATCTGATATATTCTTGATTTTCCATCTGAAATAAACAGATGCTAGCAAAAAAGGTTGAAACATTGAACAAAGCAATGGAAGTTGAATCCAAGAAAATGCGGAGAGAAGTAGCTGCCAGGGAGAAAGAAATGGCAGCTATGCGGAGTGGCAAGGAGCAAGATCAAAAGACACGACGGAGCAGTACACCCAAGGTGGCCTATAAATAGTTCTCAGCTTACTTCTGCAAGGTACCTTTTCTTACTTCATTGCATAATTTGTGGGGTCGATTTCATGTCATCTAGTATTTGAGTCTCTGCTGATGTATGCTAGTTCCAATGTTTTCCAGGAAGAGCTCGAAGTTGATTGGGCAATCGACGCAGTGGTGGTTACAATAACCGTAAAAACACATTATTTAATCATCAAATTGGTATGTACTGCTTGTGCGTGACCATTACTTTCTTCCACTCATCTGTTTTATTGTCTCCAATGAGACGCTCAATTCATAAAGAACTGGCTCTAGTCTTTGAGGGAGTTATTACATTATGTATATTGTTCTCGGTTCTGCCATCAATATCAATTCAAGTCATCATACATTCAATTCATCCATAAAGCTTTCATGTATTAGTTTTGTCATGTAAACGTTTGTATAAACAAGAAACAGAAATTTATATGTTATGGGTATGTCATTCAACCTAGTATCTTTTCTTTTGTTTTTAGTCATTACCACCCATATGGAAGATTAGGGAAGCAATTTGTTACAATAAAAACATATCTTTACATACTAGTACTAAGAGGAAATCAGAACAACCTTTAAACAGACTATTTTGATCCTACTTCAAGTCAATTATGGTGTACAAATTGATAGCTCTATGTTACATATTCAATTGTTTTCCTTTGTTCATCTTAGCATAATCCTGGGATTATTGCACCATCATTATACAACTCAAGTAATAATGAGCATCCAATACCTTGGAACAAGCATATGTAATGTTAGAACTGACAAAACAAACCTATAAATACAACAAAGTTGACACTGCTGTGCTGTAGTTGCATCCTGAAAGGCTATCAAAGACGGGAAGGGAGCAGCAACTGAGCTAATTTGCAAATAGGCGCATTTGTTTGGGAGAACTTAAACTGTGTATGGATGATTGATTCATACAGTGGAAGTATCGGCTTCATTCTCGTGGCCTTGCCAACCAGAGAGAACTGAGGGCTCGAAGCCTGGAGAAATAGTCAGTGATGGCAAGAAGGGCACGTGCTGACTGTCTTGTTGTCAATATACGGTGTAATTGTTGCAGAGTCTGCTGACGCAGATTATCAGCCTGGCAATCAACATTACAAAACTAGTTGGTAATTTAACACAACCAACATCCAAGCATTTATCTTTTAAGAATGCCATCGGGTGGCTTTATCCATTGGTAAAAAGATATGAAATGTAATAACAGTTGTAATTAGTAAGGAAGTGGTTTAAATTTTAAGGCAGAAAATTAAGCAATGGATGTGCATCAAAGATGAGCAATATTATGTACGTACCTGGGAAAGGAACCCCTCAAGTGTCCCTAGTTTTCCCATAGCCATGGCCATTTGACCCATATAGTTTGCTACCTGTTCAGATGATCCCGATGGGTTTGGTGAGCCCTTGGCCAATGTCTCAGCCAGAGATTGTTGCAGTGCTTCCATTCCTTGTGACAGAGCATCTTCAGCCTGTTGGGATGATTGCTGCAGGTTGTAAATGCCCATCAACTGTTGCTCGGTTAGAGGCTCCAATTGATTCGCAAGAAGCTGCATCAACATCAATCAAGCTCAATACCCTTCCCCCTCATGATTCACTCAGTAAAATTAGAAAATAACCCACCATCCAATTCAAATCTCATGCTCATCATGCTACCATATAAACATAATTTAATGACCTACAAATATCACCACCAACCCTAACATTCTAAAAATTCAGGCTCTATTTGATTTGGCTATTAGAAATAGTTTATATTATTACCTGACAGGTTGAAATCAGCTTATAGACTGATGTTTCTAGTCATCGTAATCAATTGTCTAAGAAAAAGTGCAGTAGACTGATAAACTATCAGTCAAGCCAAACAAACCCAGTATAATTTGTATGGACCTAAAATTAACAACAATCAAGATTGGGAAATCAACTACTAGGAGTGGTATAGTGGGGCTCACTCACTTTAAGAATCTCTGATGAACGGAAGCCACCAATCCACAAGAAACAGCGCTCTGCTGGTGTCTTCCACATTCCTGATAAAATGTGGAAAACATCAGCTTTTGCTGCAATGCCTTTCAGCCTGAAAATATCTTCATAGTGTGCCGCGACATTGTCAACAATTGTCCGAAGTTCAGTATCACCAGCATGTGAATTCACAGCAACCCTAAGCTCATTTATCTGCTTGTTGTGCTCTTCCAGCCACCTTACATATTCAACATCAAATGCCATTGCACCTTCACAATAGTCCAAAAAACAATTGCCTTAGAATAGCAAATCACTGGAAACAAAACTCATATTCAACACCTTTTTAGCAACAGTCTCCTAAGGTTCATAAGCCATATTAAAAAAATATTAACCTAGGATAGGGAAGATTTTCCAGCCGAACTGCCTCAGTGATCAGGCAACTCTTTACATTTTCTTAATTCTCAACCCAAATCCCACAGCAGAAACATCCGCTCTACATTAGCCCTTAAACATGACAAAGACCAAGCAAGGAACAACTAACCTATAGCTAGAGTAGATAGCTAAGCATGTAAGGTTTTGATAGGCAAGTAACCACCAAAAGGTAGCAGCAAGCACACTTGCTGCTATTTTAAACTGATTAATTCTATGGCAGTTGGGTTAAACAGTCTAAATTGGCAGTTTATCAGAGGAAAGCGAGAATATACTACTTTCATTGCGAGATTCCATCCAAAAACTGACATAGATTTAGCCACTTTGAGATCAGAATGAGAAATGGGTTTAAGCAACAGACAACTTCTACTGCAACAATCTGTTTGTTTAGCAAATAGCTCCCATAATATGTCTACTAATACACAGTATACAAGCATGGATACAGCACTAGCAAAATGTAATAAATTTCCACTTCCACGATGATGTAAAATTATGGAAAACAGAGTTCAGTAATACAACTAAAATACCATTTCCACTCATTGAATGAGATTGATCCCCTGTACTTGAAATAAATATTCCCTACAGTGAGAAAGAAGTGTCAGACATGATAGGGAGTTGACAAAATACTAATCAGACAAATGTTATGGCAATAACATGAAAAAGGACCTGCTGACGAGCTCGCTGCAGCTCTTGCTCAAGTTGTGTCAGCTTCAGCCGGCTACTCTCTAGTTGCTGCACATATGCCTAAAGACAGAAGGAGAAAAAGAAATTAGAATTAAGAATATGCCAATACAATCCCTGGAACAAAAATTTTAGGCCTAACCCTCAAATTTGCCCCTGAATAGTGGGGGAGGGATAGATCCACCCCTAAAAAAAAAGGACAAGTTACCCCTCCAAATTGTCAATCAAGACAAATTACCCATTTTTAACCGGTTGACATCATCACACATCAGCAATGTCAGCTTTCAGTTAAAGACATGCTCAGGTGGCAAATAGATTCTTGACATGTGATGACATCAGCTGTTAAAAAATAGGTCAATTGTCTTGATCAACAATTTGGAGGGGCAATTTGTTCCTTTTTTTTTTTTTTGAGGGGTGAATTTGTCCCTACCTGCCTATTTGAGGGCAAATTTGGGGGTTTGGCCTACATTTTAAAAGTAAAAGGGTAGCATGTGCAATTTTAATCCAACTTTAGAATTTTTTTCCTTTTTAACCTATGAAATTAATTGATATTAATAAGCAGAAAACTGCACACATGTACATGTACATATTATCAGCTGATGTAAGTAGGAAAGATTGAAATAGACAAAAGGACCCACCTTTTTCCTTAACCGGCTTTTTCTTGCAGCTTCACGATTTTGTGCAAGCCTGCGCAATGTCTGCAAAATTGTTACCAACAAGAAAAAGATATTAAAATTATGATAACTAATAAAAAATTAAATGGATGAATTGGCTTGAAGGAAACAACCTTCTGATCTGTTTTATCTTTTGATCTTTCACTTGAATCAGAGGCCATTACAGCAGTCCCCTGACCTCGCTCGAACTGCACAAAAGTTTCAAAAAACAGTGTCAGACTCACTAAGTAACCAATACCAGAGCTCCCAAATCCATATGATAAATAAATATTATAAACAAATTATTCCTTTTTACTTAAACAGCAAGGAAGAAGCTAACATGCAAAAGAATAGCTTCTGATAAAAAATATAAAAGAATAGCACCAAAAAAGAGCACAGTCAAGAAATGACAGACTGCTCATATGCTTAATAGGGAGAAAGAAGGAATACCTTTTGATTCTTATCATCTGTGTCATCTGTTGAAGTATCAGTTCTTGGACTGGCATCTGCCATATTGGACTCGGCCCAGTTCTCTCTATGACTACCAGATACTGATGTAAGATTTGACACTGGATCCTTTTGTAGTGGTAGCACCTGGGACCCCACAATGGACACAGACAGATTGGCGTCTGCAGATGCAAGTGCCTGAATTCCAGAGACACAGCTCTGAGTGACTAATTATTTAATTTTGAATCTTACAAAATGGCACGTATGAGAATAATCATTCACCTTATTCAGAGAACTAAATTGGACATTGGCAGCTACGGGCTGACTATTTGACTTTATTTGATTAAAGACAGGATCTAGAGACAAAAAAAATACAATAGGAAATCATAATCAGAATGACATTTCATATACAAGAATATTATTTAAAAAAAAAAAAGAAGAGGAAGAAGAAGATAAGCAACAAGCTTTATGTTCAATGTTCTACTTATAAGCTGAAGAAAAAGAAAAAGGAAAAAAATAATGCATCATGCACTTCACTTTCTATCCAGAAAAGAATAAACAAAATGCTTGTTTACATACTTCTGCTAAGGTTAACAGCATCCTCTATGCGAAATCCAAGAGTTTGCCCAAGTGTTCCGAAATCAGAAATTCGAGAAGAATGAATGGCGTTTGCCTCTGTGCCACTGAAACCCATATTAATCAGACCCATATCTTCCCAACTTAAACAATCCAATCTAGTAAGTAAAACTCTAATTAAATCCATATACCAAGGAAAGGATACATAGGTTAACTCATGATGTATATTCAGAAACAAAGGAAATAAAACAGCAAAAAGGCATTAAAAATATGTTTGCCTTCTGCACAGCCTCAATCCTTTCAATTCATAAATCCAAGGCAACAAGGACCTTTATCACAAGCACAATCACTTTGAAAACTTTTACCAGTTATACATTGACTACAACCAGGTGAATACAGAATGCCCTACTTCCAGAACTCAGGACTGAATTTTAAAGATACTCTTAGTTAATCAAATGAGTACAGACCACATTTTGACCAAATACTTCTCTGAAAGTAAAAGAGCAAAGCTGCATCTTTTGTCCCAAAAAAAAAAAAAAAGAAGAAGAAAAGAAAAGAAAAAAGAACACTGCTTCTTTTAGTATAGCTATGAAAGGACAAAACCAGCAACTGAAAATCAATTAACCAAAAACAGGACAATAAATGTCACCAGCGTCAGGCTCAAATACAAAGCTTTTAAATGGTTTCCAATTCATTGGGTACTCATATAATAGATAGACAATTATTTAATGTGTGATAAAAGGCTATCATATGCAGGGGAAAAAACTTGATAGCTCTCTGCCACATAATACCAACACAGTTAATGCCCTCTATTCTTTACCCAAATACTACCATGACAGACTTAGAATATATAGGATAACATAATGATATAAGACTTCCAGACCCACCTTAGGAGCACCAGTGTAAAATCCTGTAGTTAAAAATTGACATAAAAGAATCCTAAATTTTCATATCCCTACAAAAAATTTGAATTCTCAAAGGTCCCTAAAAAAGGCATATGATCTAGCTAAGTCTATAATACCACATATTAGGGACAAAGGGACCTATGTCAATCTTCCAAGGTCTAAGTTGTTTCATGTCTCATGACCAAACATATTATTAGAAAACCAACATGTTCAAAACACACTGTTTCACATGGTTAATAACTCATACAGTTAGCATATCAACCCAGAGAAAATTAATTGAAACCTCAAGAGCTGCACAAAGACGTGCAGCTGCAGCCTGGAATATTTAAAGCACAAATAATGAAACAAACAATAGAGCTAAAAAATAATGACTTTACATTGAATTGGAAGTGGGTATTGCAGGAACGTAGCTCGGCATCCCCCTCACAGCTTTATTACCATTTTCTGCACCAATATTCACTGTTCTACTGCCCATGAATCACCACCATCATCACCAACAACCCCGATATCTTAACTAAAACCTCTCAAATTATGAGCTATTAACAACTTTTCCAAAGCAAGCCAAGGTGTTCCTCTTGCTTGACTAACTACTCCCTACAATCAAAGCCAAGAACCATACTTTGCAAAACCCCAAAACTCACCGAGCACTTTTACTTCAAATTAACACAACCCAGAAGCGTGTTTGAACAAAAGACTCTAAATTTGAAGTGAAAACAAGAACCTCCTCTGAAAAGCTGCGACCTTTGAAATATTTGAGAAATACCCAGAAATTGAAACGGAGAGAAGGTCAAGGAACGGAAAACCCTAACGACTAGAGCATCTTTGTAGACGCGGATTGAATCCTTTTTTGACTTTTGATCGTGTAAATGAAATGAAATGAAAATGGAGTTGTTGTATAAATGTACAGTGCATAGAATATTATAACAGAGAAATCAGCAAATCACATATTTCAATCAAGAAAAGACACCTTGAATTTTGTGCTCCTCTTGGTGTTCAGTACAGTATTTATTTTTGTGTTTTCTTTCGTTTCCTCCTTTCAGAAAGCAATAGTGAGAAAACGTTGACGTTCATATGTACCATCTCACTTCTTTTCTTTTTTTTTCTTGGTGCAATGTATCATCTCATTTCAATTTCTTCATTCCTATCCTTATTTGCTGCTTTCTTTTTTTCTTTTCTTTTTTTCTTTTTCCTTTTTATCTTTAGGGATTGTAATTATAATATTTTTATTTATTTTCATCGTGAATTATATTTTGTAATATTGTTATTTTCTAAAGAGAGATAAATATTTATTATTTTAATTTATTTTAATATTTTATTTAAGGATATTATACATAAATGAGTATGAATTAATTTAAACAGTATATGAGTTTGCATTAATTTTCAATTATATTTTAAAATTTAAAGAGCAATTTGAAAGTTTAAATGTTGCATTTATTATTGAAATTTTAAAATAAATACTTAGTTGTTGTTACATTTATATCGATATAAATTTATTTTAATTTTATTTAAATACATAAATTGTCTATAAAATTTTAATCTTGTAAAAAATTTTGGCAACATTTTGAAAGAGAAATAGAACAAAATAAATTTTTTAAAATCTCTTTAAATGGTCAACAAAAGAAAATGTTAACTTTATTTTTTTAGTAAGTCAAGAGTTAGCTATTTCACATTTGTAAGTTTGAATATTTAACTTCAAGGAAAAACTTTGGTCAACAAAGCTTCATGAACTGGCAAAGAAGAAAAGAAGAAATAAAAAACCTAAGCTCCATGAAAACTTTGGTCAACCTAGCTCTTGTATGTGATAAAACTTCCATTTTAAACAAAAACTTCAGAATATTTTTTTTGAGTAATTTTGAAGAAAGGGAGGACATCAAATTTAAAGCTTTTAGTAAATTTAAGACAGTCAAGTCAACTTTCTTGAGTTTTTATATTGAGCAATGACTTGGGGTGGGGAAGCTTCCTAGTTCCTACACATAGATCGCCCAATGAAGGTTGTTGGGTTCACAATTGAAAAGATTAATGTATTTGATAAAGGAAAAACACATCATAAGTCCTTTAACTTTATTTGAAATACCAATTAACTCATCTTACCTTCTTTTTTTTTTTTTTCTGTTTTACTTCTAGTAACTTCTCAAAATTTGAACCAAATCCTCAAACTTGTAGGACATCTCTGCACCTATCCTTGGACATTTTTTTAGTCAATTAAGTATTTTTCTTTCTTTATCTTTTTCTAATTTAAATTATTATTCCCATTACATTTATAAAACTAACTCTTTTTCATTCTTTAACTTATTCTACCAAATATTATGCAACTTGAACTTAAAAGTTAAAAGCTAGATTGAATAACAAAATGTAGTCTCTTTCTTTTTCTTTTTCTTTTTTAACAATTAAGGTGTCTAAAATTTAACTTTCACACACTTTAAAATTAATCTCTCTTGATTAATGGATGTACCTCCATTTTAATCTAGCACATTAAAAAAATTAATTTTATTAAATATTAATCTCAAAACTATGAGATAATATAATGCTTATTTACTAAGGGTGCCCAACTCTTAGATAATAACAAAATATATTAAACCCAATATAAAGTTAGACTAGATCTGGCAAAGGGTTGACTTCGGTGGCTTTGACCATGTTTTATTCATTTATTACTTTGACTAATAATTTAGAAAGACAGGCTTCATTAAAAAAAAAAAAACAGTAAAAAAACAAAAACAAAGACTGGAAGGCCATTTTGAACAAAATTTGGGCCGTTAGAACCAGCCCAACAAAAAAACTTTCCTTCTTCCCCTATTCTCCTACTTAAGAAGCCCATCATCTGTTGGACGTTTGTTGTTGCCCATTACTGAAAGGGAAAAAATAATAATATTAACTGTTGAGGAATTCAATAGAAAGTTTTGATCATTTTGAAGACTAAATTGAATTCCTGATAATTATGGTCAAGATAAAAATTTATACTCCTATTACACCTTCTAGTGTGATTTAATTATCTTACTTTATCTGTTTATGATCATTAAAAAAAAAAACATAATACGAAAATTAGTACTTATTATTATTTTTTTATTTTTAAATAATGATAAATGAGACTAAAATATGAGATCAATGATATAATATAAGTTACATTATTTAAAATATTAAAAAAATAAATAATATATTATTTAATTATTAACTTTTTTTAAAAAACTCGTAATATTATATGTAGCAACTAATTTAATAACATAATATAAGTCATGTCATTAATCACAAAATTTCATCCTTCCTATCATTACTCTTCATTTTTACCTTTGGTAATCACAATTAAACCAAACAAGCCCTAACCTCTCTATTTCATCTCTGTTCCAAATAAAATAAAATAAAAAAACTTCATTCAATAAATGAGACAATTAAAATTAAAATGGAAAGTTTAACAATTATTTTAGATATCCTTCATTTAATAAGTGAGACAATTGGAGTGCATCAAAATTAAAATATTACCTACAAAACATAATCTTTTTTTTTTTTTGTAATTTACTAGCAAACAATTAAAATTATGTTTAAAATTATTTTGAAGTGTTATGACTATAATTTTTTTTAATATTCTACTTTAAAAAATTATATTGTTAAGTACCATACGAAAAAATGCAGTGAAAAAGCAACCCAAACAATTTTCTCTGTCTAAAAAGGTGATTTCATATCTTTCTATCCCTTGATCATCTCTCTTAAGCATTTTGCTTCATCCTCCGGCAACCTGGACCCAAATCTTATTGACCCCTTTTTTTTAAATAACCACTCCAATCTCACCAACGTCCTGATCAAAGGAACAAACAAAACTGGCATTGCGAGGCCTTAGTTTGGCTGGTACAAACTTGACTCTGACAATTCATCTTTTAGGCAAACAGAGCCAGGTCCCATTTTAGGGTGAATAATATATGATCTCTTCTACTCCACTATTTATTGGTAAACTATATATCTAAAATAATGTCCCATAACTGTGTTCAGCTCCGTCCTGCAAAGCAATTCATATCTTTTTTGTTTTTTATATTGATTGCACAACGAAAGGCAACTATCATTTATTTTTTATTACATTTCACTCGCATACCATGTAATTTAAACTCAAAATCTCTTATTTTTAACGAAAAAAAAATACCACTGAATTAAGTTGTTAGCAACAATTCATATCATTAAATACATATATACTAAATATCAATATAACATTGGTAATCATACGATATGATAATAGAGTTGTTTATATCTTTAATTAGAAATTTATGCTTTAATTTTTAATCTTTAAGTTTCAAAATAAATCAATATTCCATAAATGACTGAATTAACAACGAATTTGCATATGAAAAATGAATCATAGAGTGCACAATTTTAGCTCATATGTAGTAATGAGGATGTGGAAAATTGGAATGTTCTATTATTAAAAATATTAGGGCTTTTAATTAAAATTACATGATGAGTAATATATAATATAGGTCCTACTTAAGTTACAATTGAGATTGAATGTCGGGCATCTAGATTTTCACTTTTCTATATGGTAGAACTTGGAAAATGATTGAGATAAATTTTTTTTGTATGCACAATCTTATATATTATTTAATTAATTAGCTTTTTTTTTACTTTATTAAAATTTATAAGATATATTCATTTAATGATATTTTAGAATTATATAAAAAAATTATTCATACATCATTATCCATAAAACTTTGACAATCATTTTATTGTGAGCTAAAATTATTGTAGCATCAGTGCCCCATATATATATATATATATATATATACACATATATATGAAACAAATGTAAAAATTGTACTAAACATATGCAAGGGTCTCTTTCAGTCTTTCTCCTCTCTGTTTCTTGGGTATCTATGGAAGGATATATAACAAATAATAATGTATTGAGAGATGAGAGAGCGTACAATGGGACAGTACTTGTAGGCCCTCAAGTATTGAATTGAGGACGGATGCATTCTTTAGTGCGGTGCTGGTTTTGGCTTCATCTCTTTGGACTGTTACTGTGAAGATTAGAACCGAGTGGCCACATTGTTTTCCAGGATTTTTATAAGTTGGAGAAGAGAAAATGCATGAACCAAACCAGGGGCTCTCCTATATATTTATTGCCTCCGCTTGAGGGCAGGGAGGACATCTTTTCACTTTTCCAGTACACCGGTGGCCTGTCTATGTATAGGTGTATGTATTCCCTGCACCACTGCAGCCACTCAATCAAAGCTTGGTGGCTGTGCATCTTTTTACATTTATTGCAGGCCAAGTGGGCAAATGAGCCCCAACAGCTTTATGGGAATTTTCAAATCGACAATTTTGAAAAAAATATATGGATTGATGATAAAGTTAATGCAACGTAATAATATTTTAATAAATTTATAATATTTAATTTAAGTGTGATTTTTTTTTTTTTAACATGTTTATAAGGACGGG